AGTTGGTTTTCGTTCTGGTTTGGAACAAAAACAAAAGCGTGATGTAATTGCCTTCCTCTGATTATTTTTACCTTGGTGTATTCTGTTGCTGGCTTGTGTATATCGTTTTTATGTGCTGTCATTTGAAAAACTTTAAAACTCTTGAGAGCCAGTCTTGGAAACCCTTCTGGATGTATCATTGTTTTTTTATTTGTGCATGGCAATTGCAGCAGCCCATTAGGGGCCTATAATTCCTATTGAGCATAGAATGGACTTCTCATCATTTAATATGGAATGTGATTGTGCTCCTCAGTCGGGCTAAAATCTGCTTACTGTTGTGATTATCATCCCTGTGCTCCACCCTGCCTTTCACCACCTGCCACTTACAAGTAATTCTTTGGCAATGAGAATACAGCCAAAACTGTCAAATAAATTGGCCTCTTTTTGAGAGCCTTCTGATTATTATTCTTATTTTGCAGTGATGTCAGATTTCCAAGGGTAATCTCTCACTGGAGGACTATGTTTTTCTTTGGGACTTGCATCACCCTCTCATTTTTAGTCTCCATTTCAGAAGTAATGATTGCTTACTGAAAATATGCATTATGTGGATTTTCTATTATTCAGTTCTATTACTTTTTGGAGCACATCATTACATTTCTAGGAAGGAGAAGAGAAGATTCTTTAATCCAGAAAATAAGCCAAGAATTGAAAACAGGCAAGCTTGGGTTTTCTTTTTTTTTTTTCTTTTTTTTTTTTCTTTTTTCTGAGTACATGCAAGTTTCTTTGTTGCTATCTTTAAAAACCAGAAGTTTTCAGTTCCTTACTTTAAATACTTTAAATGCACTCCATGGCAGTATTTCTGTTTGCTTAAGCAGAAAAAGTATTAAAAAAAGCAAAGGGCATTTGTAAGATATGTGGAAAGAAAAAGTGTTTCTTACTAGCTGGGACCAGTGTTTACCTTTTTAATGTTTGGATGTTTGACATCACTGCATGTACATAAAGTGAAATTCAGAACTTCCTTCCTTCCTGCACACTTCAATGTTTGTGATGCTAAAGAAAATACAACCCCAGTTTAATCCTGGTAGAAAAGTAAGAGAAACGATGTCTAAAATGGTCGTGCCTAGCATTTTACAACACTTGCTAACAATTTTATTGTCTTGTCATACTAAAATATTAAAAATATTAAAATAGCATTTGCGACTCCTTGCTTGAAGTCAGTGTCATATACGTTGAAGCTTAGAAAGGCAGGAAGAGCCAGTCTTCTCATCCTCTGTGATGCACTATTAGATATTTGAACCACAGTGCTGGACACCAGGCCAAATATAAATGTAGTTACAGTGAATGTGTTACTGAGGCAGTGGTTTCAAGATTTTTTAAGCATTGTCTCACTGGTATGAGTGTCATCTTGTCATCCTCTCTTGGTTCTAACCAAGGCTTTTTTTTTTTCAAATCCTCTGCTGGGTGCAGTTAGACTCCTTCCAGTAACTTGGTGGCTTGGTCACTGTAGGTCAGTGGGCTGTGGTCACCAGTGACTGCAATGCGGATTTTCTCCAAAGACATGGAGGAGGAGGAGAAGGCCATACATTTATGTGGTGAGGCCTCAGGAGAGGTTTGGTCTCATGCCAACTCCCAGGAGTCTCTCCAGCAGCGGTGTCCTGTCTCATCTTCTGTTCCTTCCCTGTCTCTTTGCCTCATAACTCTCTCTTGATCTGTTTTCATTTCTCATTTTACAATATCTCTGTTTATGTTAGATTATAAGCTCCTGAGTGCAAGGATCTTATCATTTTTAATAACTGAAAACGGTTATGTACACCGTGCACATCACTGGTATCTGCTGCTTCCATCCTTCCCTCTCTCTTCCTTCCCTGAAATGAAGGTTCTCAGAAAAGAAATGGGGTTACTGTGACACAGGGTGTTCTCTGGTGAAGAGAAGGGAGAGCTCCTTTTCAGCTTATTTACAGTCCCTTGCCTTAAAGAGTCCAGAAAACATGCCATTGCAAAGAAATCTTAGTGCAGTAATATAAGCAATTACTGATGGTAATTTATGTGGCTGTAGAACTACTTGAAAAATACACGTTTGTTGTACTGTATACTGCTTAGATTTCACAATGACTGCCTAGATTGTATTGTAATTATAGTTTTGGAGTAGCCAGAGAATACTGGCAGGTACAGTCTACAAATAAATGGGAAAATCTGTATATTCACTGGAGACAAGAAGGGGCCACCAGCCCCTTGTAGGACCGTAGCTGACATCTGCAGGTTTCCCTGCACGGTGCTGTGTTCAAGTGTCAGATAAAGCAAATGCATTGAGACCAAGACATGTTTAAACATCCAGACACATTCTCAGAAATGGGAAAAAGGAGTCCAGGTTCAGTTGGGTAAACAACCATATCAGAAAAGGTTTTAGGAGTGGGGAAGAGCTGGTGAGGGAGCAAGAAGCAAAGAATAAGTAGAGCAAAATTTAAGTAGAGGCATTTTGGAATGAGGGTAGCACTGAGATAAATCCTAGATATGACCCTGAAATGAAATAGATGCTTCTCCACATCTTTTAATGAGGATGATGTCATCAGATACAGAAAGTATGGAAATATGAACTATTCTGTCCAAGATGAAACTTAAACTACAGATAGCGAGTCCACTTAAGCAGAAGGACCAGAGAATCTCAGAATTCTGAGAGAATTTGAGCATGAAAATGAGGTTCAATACCATGGGCTTTTCATAAACCTGCTAAATAGGTATCATATAATTAGGCTGTAACAGAAGTGTTTATATGTGTGGTCTGAGCTGCTGCAGTTATTAAGACAATAGAAGACTGAAGAGGTCATTTGAAAGGAAAAAAACCTAGAAATGTGCTTATAATGTTTGTTGATTAAAAAAACTGAGAAGCCTTGGGAATACAGAGAAGGAATGTCATTTTTTTGTAGAAAGAATTGGAAAGAGATCTGGAATAGTAGAAATGGGATGGAATATGAAGTGCATCATCTGGAATCTGAAGAGTAATAAGAAATTATGCAATGGCTTGGGAGGCTTGTCTTTGGAAGTTTTAAGAAAGACAAATCACTGTAAAAAAGGTATAACTGCTCTTTTTTCCCCACAGCAAGCAAAAGAAATAAAATGAGGGGAGGAGAGACATTCCCTAAAGATTTATGAAAGTGTCAATTTGTCTGGAAGCTTTATCAGGCTATAATTTTGTTCTGCAGTTAGAAATTGTTAAAGGGAAAGGAACCACAGTGGCACTGCTAGAAAAGGAGGTGGCCAGTGCTCCTCTACTTACTTTTGTCTAGAGCTGGCGTGATGTATGTGAAAAGAACTGTCTTTTCTGCATCAATTTCAAGGTAACTGCTGCAAGTGTCAGTAGTCCTCACTAACGGACTAGTCTGTTGGTTTTAGTGATGAATACCATCTGTTTCCCACAGGGAGGACCGCACATTTTTAAGAAATGCTAGAAAATAACTATGAATATGAATAGATGACAATTAACTCTGTCTTTTTCTAATGGGACTTTTTAGAAAAAGTAATTCTCTTTTTTTGTCTTTCAGCCATGGAAGAGTTAATAGTTGAGCTGCGCCTGTTTCTTGAACTTCTGGACCATGAATATCTAACTTCCACTGTCAGGGAGAAGAAGGCAGTAATAACTAACATTCTCCTGAGGATACAGTCATCAAAAGGTCAGTGTCAGGGGTGGGTTTTCTCACTTGCAGAATGCACAGAGTAAGTCTGTGTCCAGTGAAATAGCTTTAAGGGCTAGAGGCAAGCCCTAAATTGAAGCAAGACAGAAAGAAAGGGTGAAGCCAAAGTGTAACTTCCCTGAATGCTTTCCTTCATTTTCAGCAGTAAAATACAGCGAAAGGCATACCGGCAGTGTCTTCGGTGCACAAGGGTGAATGCAGCCACAAAATTACATACTAGGTAGAATGCTTTAACTTCTCCTCATGTAGTGGTTACTTCATTTTATTTGTGGCAGCAGTGCAATTTATGAGTTTTGATGGAAAAGTAATACTGCATCAGGGAGTGCTGGCCACTGCACCATCTTATAGATGCGTGGGTGCTGCATGCTTCATCTCTGTCAAATGACCCAAATCCATCAAAAGGCTTGAGACTGAGTTGGTGCATGGCTGATACAGGAGTGCCAAGCCAGAGCTAGGAGATGGCTGTCAGCATGTTTGGTTTGCATTTTGCAATTAGATTAATATTCACTTTCCCCTTTTCTTCCTATCTGAAACCATTTTGATTGCACAATCTCTTTTGTCTCCATCAAGATTATGAAACTGAATGCAATATAAATGATTCATTGTGTACAGCAAGCTTTCCACAGACCTTATACAGAGAATATGCCTCACTATTTTTTCTAACAGTGCTCTTACATTTCCTTAGAGCACCTTTCTGTATGAAGTGGCTCTGGGCTATAAGACCTCTGTCTCTCCTGCATTTGTCAGAGATACTGTCAGTATAAACTGTCAGTGTTTAGATTTTTAAAAAATACCAGAGTGTGTTGAAGAAAAATGCCACACTGTGAGCAGCTGCATTTCTCATGATTTGTTTCCTTTCCAGTGCTAAAAAAATATGGCAGTGTTTTTCCCCTTCAGTACAGAAGTCATTTTTGCTACAGGATTCAAGTCCAAGGAGACCAACTTGAAAATAATTATTGTCCTTCTTTTCATTTTGACATTCTTAAAGACTCATCACTATTTTTACTTTACTACTGAGAGGAGGCAGGTACTAATTAAACATATTGTGGAAGGAGGCCTCATGCTCCAAAAGCCGATCAAAATACACCAAACCCCCCAAACCCAAAATCTCTAGGTGAGAACCTGCAGTTTGATATGCATAGAAACAGCTGTATTTTACAGGAGTTCAAAATAACCTCAACAATGCTAATCTGACACTGCATCTTCTTCTTGTAATCTTTTCAACTAAATTTATTAAGAAAATCATTTTACTTCCTCAAGAAGTCGGACAACATTCTGTTGCCAACTTTGCAAATACACGAAAGGGTTGTCATATCCTTTCCTTCTGGATTGTGGGTGGTGTGTCAGGATATGAAAGCTGCAGCTCTACTAGTAAATTAAACAGTGCTGGGTGTGTTTCGTGGATCCTGGAACTCAATTATTTGTGCTGTTAAATTACAAGGTGGTCCTTGGCATGGATTTGGCCTGAGCTGACTTGTCTCCTCCATCAGTTCCTAGGCATGATTTGGGAGTTGGCACGAGCAAAGATCTGTTCCCAACAGAAAGTTCAAAATCATCCCCCTCCACCCTGGTTTTGAGGGGTGAGAGATTTTAACTGTGTGGGTATGGATTTCTCCATACCAGAGCACCTTCCTAGGCATGTTTAATTTAAGACAATAGATGTGACCAAGGATAAAAAGACTCAAGGACTGTAGCCATCTACCTTTCAGACCTACCATTTAGGTTTTAAAGCCTATTACAGGATCTATATAACAAGATCCATTGCATCCTATTACCGGATCCATCCATTAACAAGATCCATACAAGATCCATCTATTAAGTGGTAGGGCTTGGTTCAGTACAGTTGTTACTGAAACATTATACCCTCTTCTAGCACCTACATTCAAGAAGACAAAATCTAGACATTTAAAAGAAAAGTAACGAAAGTGATTAAAGGCTCCAGAAATACGCCTTCAAATTTTCTGAAATGAGGTATCATAATTAGTCATGCTGTAAAAAAGGAATGACTGAGAATGAGCTCTTAGACTTAGACAACAAAAAGGAGTATGCGATGCCTGAATGTTTGGTTCAAAGTGGAAATAAAGCGTGTATTTTGAGCACTGAAGCTATGAACTAATGGAAGAACTTAGTAAGGTCTGGATGCCGTTGCTGGCATTTTATCAAGATGGAATATTTTGCTAAAAGATATACTCTAGTTCAAACAAGAATAAATTCAAGGAAATCCCATAGTTAAGCAAGAGGTCATAGGACTATACTTTATATAACTATAAACTCTGGTTTATGGAACTGCAGTTGAAATAGAGTGTAAGCCAGCATGGCCTCTAAAAAAAGTATCCTGTTTCTCTCCCCAGGCTACTCATTTTTGCTCATCATGTACTTCATCTTCCCTTCTGCTTGCACAAGCATTATGTGCTTTTTTTTGATGGTTTATTTCTAACCAGTGACACTTCCCTGGTCTGGTTCAACTTGAGGCCACACACATGCTTACGCTGGAGCAAAGGAGAGGTTGGTGCGGGGACAGGAACAAGGCAGGGAAGGAGAGGAGCTGCCTGCGTGGGAGCTCTGCCATCCATCCTGTACTGGCTTCAAGTGTGTGTGAAACTACCCAGGGAGTCATGTACTTCACTGGAGCTGACCCTGTTGCTTGTTTTATCAGTTATAATGTTCAGTACTCCCATCCCTTTGAAATTATTCATCTCTTCATTAAAATTAAAAGCAAGAAAAGATGCATAAACTCACTGTACTCTGTAACTAAGCTGCACTGTCATTCAGAGTCTGTTTTTCAAAATGTTGTTTTACTCCACCCACATAACTCCACGAGAGCTCTTGGGTTGCTGGCACAGTTTAAGAGGCCTGAGGACTATGCTGAGTTCAAACTCTTTATGTGCATTTGCAAAAATCAACTGTGTGAATCCAATAGGATATTTTGATTGCTGGAGCAAACCATTTAAGATCAACAGGGAACAGTAATGAAGGATCTGTGCAACTGGGAACTGGCTGGGTTCTTTATGACATCTGGAAATGGACAATTATGTTTTTTTTGTAAAGGTGTGGAAATTATTATAATGGACTGGTTGGCTTTTAGTAAAACATTATAAACTTAGTGAGTTCTTACTTGGGGAACTCTTTAGAAATCTTTTGCCTTGTTCTGTTACATCTCCCAAATGTATGCTGTTTTCTTCATTTAATATCCATCAAGCAGAGAGAACTGGGCCAGGCAGATGTATTCTTCAGGTCATAGCTGCCTGGCCTCGACCTGCCCCACATCCAAACCAGTGGTTACTCTGAATAGCTGGCAAAACTATAAACTTTATTTTTCTTCCTGAGCCTTGGCATGCCTGATACATTGTAGGTCTGAACAAAACACTTGGCATTTCCTTCTGAAACTTAGACTTTCTTCTGAAAAACAAAGACACAAACAGTTTATTTTGGAGTAAGAACTGTTGGTGGATTTAGTCATTTAATATGACTGTCAACATTGCCTATTTTCCTTAAAGGGACCTGATGCTGTAAACCCATAATGCTGACTTAGCTGTGTAATTTAGTAGAAGAAAGTAAGTGTTAGAGCAGGTTCTTGCTTAAACACACATCGTTCAAAACAGGGAAAAAACTAGTTTTACAGTCGGTAGAATTCATTTGGAATACCTCTTTTTTCAGTAAAAAGCCCTTCATATTTGGCTTTTGTTTGTTATGGAAAGCATGGGAGACTTGGATATGGACAGCAGTCATAATATGGATTCATCCTACACAAAGAGAAACAAGTGAAACTTATACTGAAAAAAAAAAATAAATTGGAATGTTTCCCAAGGCTAATCCCCCTCTTGATTTGTAGGAAGAAAGAAGAAGCTGTAGCCCTTAGAGCCAGTTTATTTTGTCAGTGTTGTTTTTCAATCCATGACTTCACAGCCAGTGGGACTGGGTTATTATGACAAGAAACATTTCATCATTGATTACATTTTTCAGAATTATATGATCTTGACCAAAAGACATCCATTTGACTATGTAAATATATATTTTAAAAACTAAACTAAACACTAGGAGCTGAATTCAGTTTAACGGTAAGCAGCGTACGATCCATTGACTGAATTTTTGCCAGAACATTGAGGAGATGCACCCTAATCTCCTTTTTGATATTTAGAAAAATAAACGATGTCATGTTCCTATGAAGTGAGTTCAACTGGGATATAAATTATTGTGCTAAAATCTCCGAATGAGTGGGCCACTCCTCTTTTTCCCTGGGAGGGAAATGCAATAGTGATACAAAGGACCCTCAAAGCAGCTTTTACATTCAGCTCCTTTACCATTTTCAAATTCACCTGGAAAACTATGTGATTATTTAAAAAAAAAAATGAGAGGAAGAAGGAAATTATGGGAAAACATGCTCAGTGTGCAGTTCTGTTAATAGTGAGCTGGTTAGGGCAATGTGCCCCCTCCCCTGTAGCAGCGTGCTTCAGTTTGGGGTGTTGTAGCATCCTGCATCTCCCAGGACTTGTGCAGACTCGCTCCACAGCTCCATGATCAGAGGCAGTGGGGGCAGCAGGGACCCTGGGGAACGTGGGTGCTGTGGGCTTGGCTGAATAGCTGTCACCACTGCTGCAGGGGAGGGAGGGAGGCAAGGTCTCTTCTTCTGCCCTCTTCTCCACTCTTTTGGCATGAAAGGTGGTTTTGGACTCATTTCTGCATGGTGGCCTTGCCTATCCAAAATGTGCCATGGGAACAACTGTTGCTTGTCTCTGCTAGTAAAGGGCAGCCATCCACATACTGTCCACAGGCTGACCATGTTTTATTCACTGTACGGTGGTGCCATTGTGATGTTTACATGTGTGGTTTTATGTGTACGGTAGACGCCTGGCAACATGTTTGAATTTTAGCTGTTTAAGTCTTTCAGTTCCAGATGGATAGGCAGTTCAGAATGATTTCCTGTACATTTTTTCTGTGTCTGGTATTTGTTGATCCAAATAGCATATATGTCATTATCATATAGAGTAAGTATGTGTTTGTCCTGCTTGATTAAATTCCTGAATTCCCAGCATTCTTCCAGTGCTTCCTTGGTAACTGCACTCAGGAGGTAGGTTGTGAGCAGCACTGCATGCCAGATTTCAGTGTGTGACAGTCAGACATGGTGTCCACGTGTGGAAAAAAATGTCCTGTTTGCATCCACCAAGGTGTCAAGTGATGTCTGTTGCTCTTCCACAGGTTTTGAAATAAAAGAACATGTACAGAAGCAAGAAGTTGCCAACAGTCTGCCAGCACCTCCTCAAATGCCTCTGCCGGAAATACCTCAGCAGTGGCTGGTGAGTGTTAATTGAAATATATAAATATGTGTATCAGAGAGAATATATTTGTGATAAGGACTAACAGAAATTTTTACAAGGGGAAGGAACCTGCAGTTTGGAGGAAATGGTGATTCCTCTCAATTCTGCTCAGGTTGAGGAAATTGGGTTCAACTTGCAGAAGAGAAGGCAAAAGATACTCTGTGGTGATATAAGCCTGGGAACAGGCCACCTGCAAAGGCTGTGGATTTGCAGTCTTTGGCAATTTTAAAAATTAAAGTGGCACAAGCCTGCGCAACTTAAGTTCAAAGCTTGACCTGCCTTGTGTTGGGACTTGGCCTGGCCAAGCCCACGGGTCCCAGCCAATTTCTTAGGATTTTAAGGATCAGCATTCCCTGGAGCAAATCTTATGAGAACACTCACTCTTGATAGCCAAAGAATGAAAGGTCAAGGTTTTAAAATGAAGGAAGAATATTTTTTTATAAAGTCTTTAGTGCCCTTCTGTGCTCAGTCTCTGGGTAGGAAGATCCCTGCAGAACAAGTAGAAGTGTATGTTTGTCAAGATGTTTATAGCAAAGACACTGTTTTAGATCTGTAATTCAGTTTCCCCCGTTGGGACCAGCTCTCTTGTTACAGAATAAGATATGAACAAGTTTTGATTCTCCTCCTACTGACTTTACAGTAGATTTGAAGAAAACAGTTTCAACTTTTTTTAGAGAAGCATAAGCAAATAATGATTTAGCCTATTGAAAGGTGAACACAGTCCTAACCCAACACTTATAAATTATCCATCTTTTTATTCATTTGTGAAAAATTTTGTGCATGGTGATAAGAACAATCCATGAGACCTGCATTCATTGGCTGAAGCAGGAAATATAGATGCAGCTTATGGGGGCAGGACAGCTGGATGACTGATGTTCTGCTTCATTTTAGTGTGTCACTCTGTTGTTGAATTTTGCTCAATTCTAAGAGATACATAAGCCAGTAGCATCTGAGGAACATAAGAACTAATCTATCAGATCAAACTCTTGGCCAGACTTTTGTAATAACCTTTATTTGATGGTGAATATGTACTGCAGAACAAAGTAAAAAAAACAAACAAACAAACATGTATTATGCAGAATACCTTAATCATAGTTTCTCCTTAAGCGCTGCCAGCTTTTGGTTTGTGACCTGAACAAGATTATTGGTTTTTTTTTTAATTTTAAGTCTGCCTAATCTAATGAGATATGCTGGAATCATCACAGAAGGATGATGTTTATGCTAGAAACATTCATATCCAGAGTTGGTATATGTACTGTAGCAAAATTCAAAGAAAAAGAATGCCATAAAATATTTATGCAATATTTGAATGGATGCAAAAGTGATCTTATTAATATGCAGTGAAACCTGGAGAATCCATTTCATGGTTAACAGTGCCTGAAAATGATTATTTTTCTCTAATTCAAGATGCATGTAGCATAAATTACAAGGGAGGGAACTGATGAGAGTCAGGAAAATTAGGCAAAATCCATATGCCTTTGAGATGTAGACTTCAGGTGCTAGCTTCATAAACTGAAGCCAATTGAGATCCTTGTTCTTTCATATTTATGTAGGTTCAGTATAATAAACTGGCTCTGAAGATTCAAGTTGTTTTTCTAAAGACAACCGACCTACTTTTCCTTTCTCCTATACTAATGTGTAAATTCCCTTCAAATTGGTACAGCTGCAGCGAGTGAAATGGTGTGAAGCATGAATTAGGTCCAGAAGGTCAAACTGGTTTTTTGCAGTAGTTCAGTTTGGATTCTGGAGTAACAAAAATATTTCTCTGAGACACGGTGGGAATTGCCATGGAAGTTGACACAGTTAGAGCTGGCTGGTCTTGACTGCGGTCTTCCCATGTTGAGCCTCACAAAACAGAGTCTGAACGTGGCCCTCCCCTCGAACCTGCACCTAATGCTGTGAATGCTTTAATCTCGGTGAAGTCACCAAGCAGAGCTGTTTTTCCATAGTGATGGAAGCTGATTTTTGTCCGTTTTTCTGTAATTCCCAATAGGGGTGGTTCGAGCCTCCCTGTCTGGTGTAGGTGGCACTCTGAGATCAGCCAGGAAATGCCTCAGGCCTCTCGTTGTCTTGCATTATCCAAATACAGTTACGAGTGGCACTATTTTAAGATGGTAGCACATTGTAATTTGTGAAAAAAATGACAGACTGCTGTCATCCTGCAAAAGACCAGGTGGAGTCAGAAGGGAAGGACAAAACTGTCAGCTTCTTGACCTTTGAACACCAGGCAAGCTCAAACCACATTCTGACTCTTTAACATCTTCTCCTGAAGTTGTGTTGAACTAATGGAATTGATCATTAGCTCTTTTCTGGAAACCTTTCTCTATTAGATGCCTCTTTGTTACCCCCTCATTATTATTAGATATGGTTTGAGACTGTCATACTATCTTTCTTTTTACACCAGGCTGGACATCAGTGATAGTGGCTGAGATCTAATTTTCCCTTCCATTAATGCTCCTGTATGGTGATTTTCAACCTACCCTTAATCAGTGGACTCCTAAAACTGGTAGCTGATGATGCCCTTCTGGACATAACTACATTGCTCAGTGACACAAATACTGAGCTACATTTCCTAGACACTTTTCATGGACCGCGCCTTGCTAGTCAAGTGGAAGAAATCCCCTGGGCCCACCAGAGACTAAAAAATTCTGCTCCAGGTTGCCCTTCTTCACATGGCAAGTTGGAAGTAGTGTTGTATGACACTTCTTTTTGTCAGTCGTTCAGGACAGAAACTTTTTCCACTTGCTCATTAACATCTAGTGGTGGTCTCAGCCTCCAGTGGAAACACAATGTGCTGCTGGAACGCAGGGATTTACTTGAAGTGGGAATCAATGACTTTAAATAAACTATGCACTGTTTTAAAATCTGTGTTTTTAGCGCATCAGTTATTGAGCGTGATGGAAATTAAAGTTTCATTTACACCACTGTTTCTTTTTATGGCACTCAAGGGATACTTCATTCAAAAATGTTTAGTCTGAACTGATGTTTAAGCTTTTACTTATGTAAAGATGTGTGGGTGGGAAGGAATTCAATACTCCTTAACGCAGTGCCAGGAGCCAGAATTATGTGTGGGCAGGTGCTGTGCAAGGTTTCCTTTGGAAATCTGTAAATAGACCAGCGTATTTGCTCAGGCCAAATCTTGTATCAGTTTTGTTATTCATCAGCCCGTGAACAAAGAGTATAAAATTAATTTTATTTAGAGACATACTGTTAACAGTTTAAATCAAGTTTCCAGCTATTAAAACACGTTAAAGCCCAGAGAGCTTTCCTGGACTCAGTGGGCTTTGGATCAGTTCTTAAAATCGAGGCACAAAGCTGGATCTTGCATATACTTGAACAAAGCAAATCACTAATCACACAATCTCTTAGTAATTTTATTTTTCCATATACATTCCCTTGCCTAAATCTGGTCTATCAGACTTTCTGTCAGGCTTAGAAATTACAAATACTTGCTTGCTTTAGCCTGTGCATACAGCTCCTTCAGATGGCCAGCAAAGTAAAAGCTGGAGATAAAGGATGTGAGCTTAAGGGCAACTCAGAGTCCTCCTGCAGAACTGAAACACCAGTTGCCTGGGTGCACTAACGTGTCCTTGCTAGCATGAATACAGTGCCAGCAGCTGGGGAAGCTTGGCCTGGGTCAGCAGCAGAGGAGGAGATGACCACGTTTGAAATGGAGTTATGTTGGCTCGCTGCTCTTGAGCCTGTTACTGCGAGGACTTGTATCTTTTAGCCTGCTTTCTCCATCTCTACATCAGCAGCCACTTTGGTGTTATTTCCCTGTGATTGACAGGCAAGAAGCAGCGCTAAATGATGGGTTTGGATGAATAACAGAGGCAATGCCCTCTATGTACCTCACAGCGCTGCTGGTGGTTTAACACCTGGCATCCCATCATTGCACTATCACCAAGTTGCCTTGAAGTACATTTTCCACTGAGGCAGTAGGATAAGATCCAATGTGTCCTGCTGCTCAGATGCGCTAGAGGATTACTGGCATAAATTATCCACAGCATGACAGTGACAGAATACTTCTAGCCTCCCAGCATTTGGTTGTGATATTACATCTGACAGTTGGTGATTTCAGTGCACTGTGCAGTCCAACAAAATCAAATACAAACAGCACACTTAGCTATTTTTGATGTTTTTCACAGTAAAATTGAGTATATGTTTTATTTTTCTTGGAATATTGACAATTTAATAATTATTTAACCACAACAAGTGTCCAGCAAGATGCCAGAACCCCTGCAGATATAAATCAAAAGGATAGGTCATCTTCCTCCAACCCTTTCCTGCAACGTACACAGTCACTCTGTAGGAGTGTTTCATATAAATGGGTTTCCTATAGTGGAGAAGCAATTTGACAGCCTCCCTTTATCTGGCTTCCTGTCAGGTATACTCTCAGATATTTATTAGAAAATGCGGAAAGGAGACAGTGTCCTTGGAGAAGAAAATGTCATCCTGAAATCAAAAGGATTTTTAAGATGATACATCACCAATTACATTAATCATTCTTTGAACAACAATGAAAAAAGTGCCAGTCTTAAAGATTCTTCTAAAATGTGCAGTCAGGCTGGTGCAATAGCAAAAGCAAGGGACTCGTGCCCAGTGGGTACTTATGACTCTTTATTTCATCTTGTTTTTTCTTCTAAACAGTTAAATCAGTTGTTATTCTTTGTTCTTCTTAAAAGTTAATCTTAAGATAGTATGTTTTTCACCTTGCAGAAAATTCTTAAAAGCCACAAAAATTAATTCAACAAAAAATTCAGTTGTTTGATTCAGCACTGCCTCATAACTTCAGTGTGAACGCATCTCAACAAGTTCCATAATGAAGGAACAACTGAAGGGGCCTTTTTTATTATTCAGTGCAGTCACTCTTACTGCAGGTAATTATAAAATAATAACCTTTTCAGAAACTTAATGAAATATCTTTACTAGCACTTGGATTTCTTTAACCCACTGTTTCAGTTTGAAAGGCTGTTCCA